GGTGGTGGTGGTGGTAGAACGAAGATCTGTGGGAAAACATGAACACTCTAGCTACATGTAGCTAGTAATTAAAGAAAAAAGTGACGATGTAAACAGTGAAACGTATTCAGTTTTTCCTTCAAAAATTAAGCTCGAAAGAGACATTTTTACATCAAGTGTTATATAACTCACTTGCAGTCGCCAATTAATTTCGTCGGAGTCATCCTTTGCTGTAACCATGACAACCGCCAGGGTAGCCAAAATGAGGAAAAGCAACTTGGAATCCATAGCGAAGCTCTTTCTAGAAAACTTGGTCAGAAAAGGAAGTATGTCTTCAGCGTGAAGGTGAATTTATCAAAATTAGATAAGTTAAGTATCAATGTGAAATAAGAAGCGCCCAGGATCCATCAGCACACGCCACGATTTAGCTTTAATTTTCATTGGTCAAATCATGTGTAATGAGCCCAAATTAGAAACATACGATTATAAAATCTTTCTTTTATACGGCTTTAAGTCTTGTTCTGCGTTTAACAGTATTTCTTTTGAGTTTATTTATTTCTGGCAAGGCTTTACCAGATACTCCAGATTCACGAACCTGTTCAACGCGTATGAAAAACCCACTAAGACTTTTCTCTTCTCGCGTGTTTCCCTCTTCGCTCATGCCTTGCGCGCGCGCGTCCCGCAAGCTTTCAAGCGTATCTCTCATGCACCTAGAAAACAACGAGCCCGGCGAATACCATTGATAATTTATACACCAAATTGTAACCTTGTGGTTCAACTGTATGGCTGATTAATGTGAGAAGAGCACATTCCAATTTTCGAGGACACCAATTTGTCTAATCTATGCTTCAATCAGTTCCGATTGAGGTACTTTTCCAGTTTGTAGAATTGGATGTCTTATGCCATCATGAAAACAAGTATGATCACAATAACCTGAGTTTTGATGACAATGCAAAAATCTTCCATTTCTTTACTTTTTAAAAGAGCTTTCTAGTCTCGACTCAACCATTGTTTGAAAAGAAAGAAAGAGCTTAATTTATGCGTGTCGAAATTACAATGCGTATGCAGGAATTGCTTTGGTACTTCACTGTAGTCCATAACTTGCATATTTACAGTGTAATAAGTTTTGCCTACCAGATACCAGATGGAAATCAGGGAAAATGATTTTGCGGGAAAGGTTTTGTTCTCTTGAAAAACGCATTTTTAATATGCTGCCAGACCTTTTTGACATGTCACCCGCGGTACACTTTTATAGTTACCCTGTGAATATTTTATCGAGAAAAGTCGCTCCTCGGCTGGTCAAAGAATCAACTTACTTAAAATTATTCATCTAGAAATTTGAGCACGCTCGTATACTTTGTGATGAGTTTTTATTATGTCAACGTTAAGATAATTATCACATCAAATGATCAGCCAGATTCATCACTGCCTGCAACCGACTGAGGCGTTTTCATTCAAGCTGGTAAAAAAGGGAAAGCCGGCTCAAAAGTTACAGTATTCCGTAAGAAAAAATGCAAAGACAGACTTACATTGCGCTGCTCAAGATGCGAAGCTACTGATGAAAAGCTATGTTTATACGGTGAGACAACTTAACCAACAGGGAAAATTTTCTCTTACCTGATAAGAGCAAGTTCCTTCCACCTCTGATGTGCTCAAGAAACTGCTTGTTTGTGAAACCATTCCTCAGTTAACATACAAAACTCGTGCAATGCGCCAACCAATCACAGCAAAGGTATTGTGTAGTTGACCAATCAGAGGTTTTTACTACAAGATATTTTCCCGCGCTTGGAAACAAAACATTGTATGTGAGATGGCTTTTCCCGCGTTATAATTAGGAGCTCAAATGTTTATCACAATAAAATACCAGGAAATATTTCAGCCGAACTTCTGTGGTAATACCAGCAGAATGGTTTCGGTCAGCTGGCCAGAATGATTGACCAGTTATTCCAGTCACTAGATTTAGCTTCAACTTAGAACTCCACAGCAGGGCTTTTAATTAACAAAAATTATTTTTATTTAATTTATTTTCGGTGTTAATTAGCTTGTACTGTATGACTTGTATATGATTTCCCATCGGGACAATCGGAACTTTCACTCCTTAGTTTGACGCCGACCAGTTTACTCGAAGCTATTTTTCCTTGTTATAATTATGGCTTACTCTCTGGCTTGTTACGAATTTTATTAAGTTTTTCACTGCTTCTCCCTCTCTTGTAACTCGTAATCAGCGGGTTTCATTTCCTCATGAATAAACTCGATTACTGCTGGCGGCTTGTTATATTATTTGTGCCCTTTTATACTAATAATGTAAATGTTTTTATTCCGCTGAGTGAAACGAGAGAAAATAGAAGAGACATTTTGACGCTTCTGAAAAGGTCCATTGTAATTGTTTGTCCCGCATTACAACCCGCTAAAAAACGCCACATTTAACATTTATTTTCAATTACAATCACATGAAATAAATTAAGGCATGAGCGCGCTATTTATCGGCTGTTTGGCGGGGCATGGACAGAATTAATTTTTGTGCCCTAAAAAGTACAAATTACATGCAAATTGGATCAACAAAAGCAAAAAAGTACTCGGCGTGGTTTGTGATATAATCCTGTGCTAAATCTGCCCCAATTTTCAATAGCTCTTGTTAAATGTACGTTTCGTCTTAGTTTATTACACAACTGTAAAACAAGCGGCTTGGTTTTAATTCGTGATCACAGATCGAACGCCTACAAGTTAATTCTCTCATTACACTGACAATACCTTAGATGAAACGACTTACGTAATCCCCTTTATTTCCTGTGGGATCTGCTGAGTCTAAGGCAACAACAATTCCTCTCTATTTATCCCAATTTTGCGCAGCCTGTTGTGCCTCACCCGAAGTCAGTTTTACCTCACTGAGCTAAGCCATGACAGTTCTGCATCTCGTGGTTTTGGGCCGACCATGTAGGTTTCCTTTTGTTAGTGGTGCTCAACGCAAGACAAATCTTAGGATTAACAGCCTGATCCATGCTAAGTACTTGGCCCAGCCATCGGATTAATGATATATTAAAAATAGTTCTGTTGTTTCCTTTTTGAATAATTATGACCATTTATGAACCTCTTGTAAGATAATTACTACTTTGATTTATAAATCTTGAATAACCACCAATCCAGGCAAGTTGTCAAACTCCAACTTTATAGCAGAACCAACTACTATAGTCTTAAGTCTCGTTCATTTTACAAATATTGTGGGGAAATCTTTGTTTACAATATTCTTCCCATTTGCACGGCGATTCAATATCGATCATTATCGATTACTCCAAAATAAGTTAGGATTCCTTGCCACGGTTATATGTGCAATATAATAACCTCGACGAGCCTATGTATTGAAGAACGCTCCGTTTTGACAGAAAATAACTTTAGGGTTTGGCAAAGAATAGAGGTTTTGGGGCTCAATACATTCTCGTTCCAGAGCCCACTCCTCTCTTGGAACGAGGCCTCCGGTGACGTGAATGAACTCAATAATACTGATTCGAGAATTGTTTACTGTCCCAGGAAACAAATTCATTTTCTAAAAAAAAATACCGTTTCTGGCATTTAGTCCAAGGTGGCGAGAGAGTCAACAAGATGAAATTATTCGTCATTTATTGACACTATCATAACCGTTATAATTACAATCTGCGCATGCGCGCAACATAACAGAGGCAAAAATGTAGATACAATATACAAAATAGGTTGAAAATTCTGATATTAAAAATATTTGGGAAATTAACCGGACGCGAAATAAAAGTTTGTTAAACAGGTTTAGAACACAACTGAGAAACCAGTTTTCCAAACCTTTACAAAACCCTCTGGGTGTGGCTTTTTGATACATACGAGGGCTGTGGTCTTGTAACTAAAACAATGTTCTATTAATTTGATTTCCTCCTTTTACTAGTTATTACCACAGTGTTCTTTTAAAATTCATTTAATCGACGGAAACCTGTTCTTGGTTGACCCAAGTTTCAAATAGAGTCCTTCACCTATACAAAACAATAAAACAAACAAACAAGCAGGTTAGCCCACGAGAATTTAAAAAATAAGGTAAACCATAAAGAGCCTGTGGGGTGTTCCACTCCGTAGTAACAATCAGCCGGGAAAGACTTTTAGTCAGTTGTTCAATTTTTAACGCAATAATAGACCCTATTCATAAATGGCTGCCAATTTAAAATTCTTTTGTATGTATTTAAATTAGCCCAGCTAACCTCGTTTGGAAGCACAAACTCTTTTGAATTATCAACTCAAAAACGAGGTTAGCTGGGCTAATTTTAATGCTTACAAAAGAATTTTTAATTGGCAGCCACAAATCACTCCTCTATTTTGGTGCGAAGTTTCAGCGATAATTTATAATTTCACACGTAAAATTACAAATTACGAAATTGCCATGGTAACGTTTGGCGCGAAATTTCTCGATGCAATAAACAAGTTAAAAATAAACCCACGATTGTAAGCTTCATTTGTCATCCACGATATTATATGTTGAAAGATAATCAGATGGTATACCCGTGAAATTAGGACATCATTTTACTTACGTTTTGTCAAAATGCTACTAATTTCCTTCAACTAAATTATAAGAATTTTAACAAAACGCGCGTTAAATTACTTCCGTATTTCACTCGTCGCTATTTGCTTACTCATACTAATTTCTACGATGTTTTGACCTCTTTCATACGACNTGGTTGACCCAAGTTTCAAATAGAGTCCTTCACCTATACAAAACAATAAAACAAACAAACAAGCAGGTTAGCCCACGAGAATTTAAAAAATAAGGTAAACCATAAAGAGCCTGTGGGGTGCTCCACTCCGCAGTAACAATCAGCCGGGAAAGACTTTTAGTCAATTGATCAATTTTTAACGCAATAATAGACCCTATTCATAAATGGCTGCCACTTTAAAATTCTTTTGTATGTATTTAAATTAGCCCAGCTAACCTCGTTTGGAAGCACGAACTCTTTTGAATTATCAACTCAAAAACGAGGTTAGTTGTGCTAATTTTAATACATGTACTTACAAAAGAATTTTTAATTGGTAGCCATTTATGAATAGGGTCTATATCATAAGTAACAAATTACTCCTCTATTTTGGCGCGAAGTTTCAGCGATAATTTACAATTTCACCCGTAAAATTACAAATTACAAAATTGCCATGGTAACGTTTGGCGCGAAATTTCTCGATACAATAAACAAGTTAAAAATAAACCCACGATTGTAAGCGTCATCTGTCATCCACGATATTATATGTTGAAAGGTAATCAGATGGTATACTCGTGAAATTAGGACATCATTTTAC